GAAGAAATGTATGATAACAATTAAGCTCCCGATTATTGCTCAATCCAATACAATAACATGGATGAAGCTAATTTTTAAAGATTTGTCATAGATTTTATTGTAATTATTGTTATTCATAACTTCTATTAATCAAGATTTTGATTATTTTTAGTGGAATGTAAAAATATCCCCTTACTAATATTACAAAATCTTTTGAACAGGTTAAATTGTATTTTACTATTTGTCTATTTTAATTCGTTTTGTAAAAAAAAAACCAGCATCTCCTAATTACCCATAAAAACAGTAAAAATATAAATTATTCAAAAAATTCATAACATTTTACTTAAAAATGCTTAACAACATTATTCACATATCAAATTACTAAACAAGATTCTCTAACGTTGATAAAAAAATATAAACTAACTATTGCTTCCCTAAACAATTACAATTTTAATGCTATTTAATATAGTTAAATTTTTTCATAATATGGTATAAAGAAAATCATAGTAATACTAAAAACTACTACGACAATTTGTTTTGGATGTTATTGGTATTTGTCATTGAGTAAATCTTGGATTTTTGGTGCATAAAAGTATCCCAACAATATCTTTTAAATTCAAATATTTTCAGTTTTAGAAAAAAAACGTTAACAAAATATTATTTTTGATATATTCTTTAGATAAGTAGATTTGAAATTAATAATAAAAGAATAAACGAATATCCTACAATATATTCGACTATTTAGAAAATTCACTATATAAAAAAAACATCACGACACCTCAAACATATGAACGCTTCTATGTTTTTTCTTTGCTAAATAGCTATTATTATTTTTATACTTTTAAATGTACTAATTCGATTTGTTTTATTCATCTTTCTATGTGTTTAAATATACTAACTCGATTTTGGTTTTGGTGTATGTAGATAATTGAGAGAGACGAGGAAGAATCGAAAGCAAGCTTCCATAGTTCTTACTTAAAGAACGTGGTTCGGTCTAAAACTTAACATGAACATTTTGTCTAACAACTCATGATTTTTTTCAAGAATTTTAACATCTTCAATTCTTGGTTTGGTGTATGCAGAGATGGAGTTATACTTGTCTATCCTAAATCAAATTTAATATTTGGTTTGTATCATAATGCAAATTAAATTAACTAATAGAAATGAATGATCAGGTCACCATCG